AGATAGTGTCCATGAAAACATACTGGACACACAAATAAAACAAAAATCATCATATACGAAGCGTTACCCTCAGTCTGCAGATAGCACATTTAAAAAAGGAGATGAAGTGTTATTGAAAAAGCTACGTCGAGAGGATCGCTAAGGTGGTTGGGTTTTTATGCCATGGATTGGGCAGTTCATTTTAAATGATATTTTGGACAAAAAAAAATGTATATTAAGTAGGGAGAAAACTGTTTTAAAAACAAAACAGCTTATTTCAAATATAAAAAAATACAATAGAAGTACCAATCACATAAGCCAGTTTGAAGATAAGTCAATAGTAACTGCTCTTCCTCCAGACTTTCAAAATAAAAAATATTTCAACCCAGTTTCTCTGTTCTGGATGAAAAACAAATGCAAAGAATTTAATTTTCCTCTGCCACAAAATCCAGTGGCAAAAAAATCTAAGAAAACCCATTTATTGGGTTAACCTCTTGATAGGTTAAGTATTGATGGAGACGGAAACTGTTGGTATCGGTCTATTTCAGTATGGATCTCTGGAACTGAAGAACATCATTTAATGATCCATGCATCATTAATCAAAGTAAATTAAAATAATTATTATGAATATCTATTTTTAATTATTGTATTGTTTATGGTATTTTGTGATTTATAGGCCTATAGAGAAAATGAAGCAATAAAAAAAATTGTAGGAGACGTAGACACGTACTTGGCTTTGACTGGAATTGAAGAGGATGGTATTTGGGCCACAGACACAGAAATGATAGCTACAGCAATGTTTTTAAATACTCATATTTATGTATACACAAAAACACTCGATAAATATGAATGGAATTTTTTTGGAAAATCTGGATGTTACAAAAATGGTGAAAAAATTTTTTGTGTAAATAGATACCTAGTTTATAAGTTTTACATTAATAAAAAACAAGGTTGATTTTAAGTAAGCCAACAGTCTAATCTATGATGCTTGACATAAAACAATTTATAAAAGTGTGATGTGCACCAAAGCAAGTTAATCCTGCAACCCTTTAAGTAGTTTCCAAAATGCAGCAACCCATAACAATATGGAAAAATAGTATACGAACATCATTAAATAGTTATATTGGTTGAACTCTAATGGAATCTGAAACTTTTTTTTAACTTTTAATTTGAGAATCTTAGCGAAGCGAACATTTTATATTAGGAAGTAACAATAAAATATTACTAACCTCTGGGTGTCTGGGTAGGTTTCTATACATTGTGATTTGTAATTCAATAACTTTTGTTGAATACCAATTTACCAGCATTAGACAACAATGGTTCAAAAACATGCTGTTCATAAAATCTAAGAAGAAAACTAATTTTATTGAAATAAATATTTTCAATTTTAACTGATCTATCAAAAATATAAACAGTGTTGTTACCTACTTATTTTTAAAACTGAAGACCTTGCTTTTTAGTCTGATCAGCTTTCTTTTTTTGGAATTGCATCTCGGCTTTTATAAATTTCTGAATCTTGCTTTATAGATAAGTCAAACGAACCTACCTATCTACTGGGCTAGTGGGCTCTGTTAGTTTTAAAACTAGCTGTTTCCAAGTTGCCTATAAATTGTTGCCAAGAATCAGTATAATTAAAAATAATAAAATATAAATTGTTATGTTACAATAGAACACACTATATGAACTCCAATTTAGGTAGGCAGATATCTACTCTAAGAGTAGGTAGGTCTCTCGGTGGTAACCATTTGAATTCATTAGTATAATATTTCTTCTTTTAAACAGGCCAAATTCAATTATTATTTTTTGAACCATGGTTCCAAAAAATCTATTATAGATTCATTATTTAAAAAATTAACAGTAATCATCGTATTTATTGATTTTTTTCAAAGAAAACTACAATCTGAAATACATAACACAAATATAAGCAATTTTTTGTGATTGTCTATACAAATAATGTATAAACAAAGAAAAAGATGTTAAAAAATAAGTGTATTGTTTAATTCCTATATAAACTAGCTTTATATTTTTAGCAATTATATTAGTTAAGTCATATTAGTTTTTTCGTTTTTTGTTAGAGATCATTGAACTTTTACTTTAATGATTTTGTGCAGCCTAGGTTTTACAAATCATTGTTATTAAAATTCTGAATTAAAATGTATCTTTGACTAAGTAGGCAGGTAAATTGAAGCCTTGCTTTACTAGCTATTAATCATGGGATTTATCGGTAACATCATGTCAAATACATAAATTAAACTTGAATAGGTAACTTTAAATGTTTTGTAGCAACTTATAATTTATACAACTATGCACTTGATCAATGACAACTTTTTTGATAATCCATGATAAAATGACTACATAAATAGGTACATGATATCATAAGGTTTCAAATAGGTACCTATATAGTACCTAAATTAATACATGTTTATAAATATTTTTATTTGTTCGTCCAATTTGCTGGACTTGGAATATTAAACAATTTAAACATTAAAATATAATTAAAATGTTAGTACCTACCTACCTAACTATGTAACTCTGTTAAATAATCATTTTTTTATAATAATGTCAATAATAGTTAAAGTATCTACATAATATAAACCATTGTAATAAAGTATATTATTGTTCTTTTTATCACTTTAAAAGTAAAATATATAATATATATAGAGAGAGAGTTACATACCTCATTAATAATTAGTTTAATCTATTTATTTAACTTCAAAAAAACTAACGAAAAAGTGTTAGCGCCACCGTGGCAACACTGATACGCTCCGGCGGCTCGACTGTGCTCGGCGACTTGACTGCCTCGTTCTGTTTTGTCGCGATCGCGGTGCTGAGCACGATTAAAGATATACAGGTTGCACATCGACTACTGATAAGGTGAAATACGAAATGACTACCAATAATTAACCAGTGGCGCTCCAAGCGGCAGTATTACAATTAACCGATTATAGATATATAGGTGTAAAATTAGTTCTAAATGTCGACACATATGGTTGAGTGTTGACATTAAGCGCCACTAGTTAATTATTAACAGCTGATTTTTATAGTCACTTTGTAAATCAGTCTGGAAGCGGTTTACTATAGGGCGATGTGCAACCTGTATATCTTTAATCGTGGTGCTGAGTGAGTGAGTACAGTGGGCGGAACTTCGAAAATAGCTGGACAAAAATATAATTTTCATTTAACTCATAATTGTTTTGAAATTGATGTTATTCGTTTATAAGAATGTTATAGTCAACAAAATACAAAAATTATCAGCAGTTTTTGACAGATAATGATATTTATATATTGCGATAAGATAATAATTGGTCAGTCATACAATATTTTGCCTCATTTGCTCTTGAGAATTCAAATGGTAATAGTCATTCAATTTCCGGTTTTTATATTTTATTTACGACGAAGGTTACTAATGAAGGTATGTATTAGAGTTTATGTTTCATAATAATAATTTTAACCACCCATTTAATAGTATTATAAATAATCAATGCATAATTATACGTTTAATTTTAAATATTTTAAATTTAATGGTAGTTTTAAAAAAAATGGTCAAAACTGACCTCTATAAATAGTATGCCAAATTGTTATACAGTTCATAAAATTTAATTTTATGTATATTTTGTTTGCTCTTCGTTGCTTCTATTAAAATAATTATCATTTTTGTCATTTGTTATGCGTAGAGAATTATTTGAATTTTTAAGAAAAAATGGAAATATAAGACCACTGGATGCTCAATCTCGAAAAATCATAATTGAATATGTAGAAAATAAGTTAAATGTACGCAGTATTCAAACAAATATTCCTTCGGTCATTTTTACTTTTTTATCAAGCCATCAAAAAAAATGGAAAGAGTGTGGTCGTAGTGCAAATAAATTGTATTTAAAATACTCTCTCTGGCTGGATACTAAATTAATGTTTTCTTTTAAAAAAAAATGAGCCTAATAATACTATGACTGAAGGCCGTGGTCGTCCAAAAAAACCTTTTCAAGAAAGCTGTGAAAAAACAAAAAAAAGAAAGGTTCAACATTTGTTAGACTCGCATAGTTCTCAGTAATTAGCATTTGCTTCTCGTCTAAGCTTACACCGTTCTGGTAAAAGGCATGCTTCGTCAGTTATTCAAGAAGTGACCGAAAAAACACCAACTCGAGCTCATAAATTAAAAAAAGCATATAAAATGTCCATGCGTAAGTCTAATAATAATAAAATGTTTTCTCCAGAAGAAGCGTTGGCTATTCTTGTAGATTTAAACTTGACCAAGCAACAATATATGACATTACGCCAACGACTAAAAGAGAAAGAAGTGTATGTTTTTCCTTCTTACGATGTTATAAAAAGTGTAAAAAAAGAATGTTATCCACCTGACCACAGTATTGTCGTTACCGAATCATCTGCGGAAATTAAATTGCAGGCCATATTAAATATTACAACTTCCCAAATCGTCAAACTACAAGATATAGTTCTTCAGCAATGTATAAATGATATACAACCAGATTCAGTAGAATGTATTTATAAATGGGGTTTTGACGGAAGTTCTGGTCAAAGGGAATACAAACAGAAATTCACTAATGATGCTTTTTGTGATTCAAATCTTTTAATGACATCTCTTGTACCAATTCAAATACATGGACTTCAAAAATCCAATAGTGAAAAAATAACATTATGGAAAAATCCACGTCCATCATCAACTAAGTTTTGCAGACCAGTTCGGTTTTTATTTGAAAAAGAAACAAAAGATACCATAAAAAATGAAGTTATGTATATTTAAAATCAAATTAACGACCTTGAACCAACAAGAGTGATTATTGGCTCAACAAATCTAAAAATCAATAATAAATTGTTGCTCACCATGATTGATGTAAAAGTTTGCAATTCAATAACCTACACAAGTTCCCAAGTTTGTTATATTTGTGGAGTATCCAAAATATACTAATAACTTAGAATTAGCTAAAAATAGAACTAATAATGTATCGACTTATTCGTTTGGTTTGTCTACTCTCCATGCACATATACGATTTTTTGAATGTCTCATGCATATTTCGTACAGGTTGGAAGTGAAGAAATGGCAAATGAGAAGCCCGGAAGACAAACAATCATTTAAACGTAGAAAAACGTATATAATCAATCGTTTTCGAAAAGAAGTTGGTATTATTATTGATCAACCTAAACAAGGTTGTGTGTCAAGCAATGATGGTAATACTGCTCGGAGGTTTTTTGAAAATGCTTTATTATCAGCAGAAATTACCGGATTGAATGTAGAACTAATATCTAGATTTGGAGTAATACTTGCAACAATTTCAAGTGGTTTTCATATAAATATTTCGGCATTTGAAAAGTATGCTATGGATACGGCAAAACTTTACATAGAATATTATAACTGGTACTATATGCCAGCTAGTGTCCACAAAATTTTATTGCACGGTGCCGATGTTATTAAACATTGTTTGCTACCAATTGGGCAACTATCTGAGGAAGCCTCGGAAGCGAGAAATAAGCATTACAGATCTTTTCGAGAACATTTCACTAGGAAAACCAGTCGGATTGATACAAATATAGATCTTCTTCATCGTTTAATCGTTACTTCTGATCCGGTTATATCATCAATACGGCCAAATCCTTCCAAAAAAATGGTGCCAATATCCCCAGAAGTGTTAACTCTTTTAACTAGTTCAGATTCAATACCTATAGAAAAAACCGTTGCTATTCCAAACTCAGAATCTGAATAAAATAGTATATTAAATGTTAAATATTATTATGTTAAATTTTTTTAATGTATATTTAAGACGACTTATAACCAATGTTCAATATTATTCAACTCCTGTAAATTATACGTAAAAAAACATTAAACAAAATTATGTTACATTTATTATTTTTGTCCAGCTATTTTCGAAATTCCACCCACTGTGTGCCGTAATTGTTTGTAAGTTTTTCGTTAAATAAACGCCTCACGATTGTTATTTTACATTGTTAGTGACTTTCTAATATCCTGACACCATATTTCCTATCAAAAGTAATATAGGTAGTCGTCATGTAATAAAAATTGTATTATTTCAATCTTTCATTGACTTTCTACAAATTATTTTATATTCTTAACCACATTCATGCTTGTATGTTGTAGGAATGTTTTATAATTTATATTATAATAATTAATACTGCTCAAGACATACTGACAAAATGTACTAGGTACCTATTTTAGAAATATCATAGATATCATTAAAATTTAATAACATAACCATTTTAAACTTTTTAGCTACATTAGATTACCTACCTCATTAATATTTATACATAACAATTCAAAACGTAGAAGCTTACTTGTAACAAATTAATATTCAATCTATTATTATTTTGATAACATTGTTTAACTTTCAGCGCTTTTGACATAAATCATATAACTGTAGTGTTGGGAATAGATAACTAATAATTTATCTAGATAAAGATAAAGATCACTGTAATAATTTTTATCTAGATACAGATAAAGATAATCATACTAAATTTTATCAAGATAAACATGAGATAATTGGTGTATTTATCTTTATCTATAAGATTATTTTTCCTGGATTCTTCAACTTTAGACATTATTGAAGCATGTTTATACTAAAATATTTACAAAATATTAATATTGTAGTAAATGGCACTTGTAAATTGTAAATAGAATTTAAAAATAAATAGCTGGTCTTAAAATTATACATACTTTATAATGACTAAGGAAATTACCACTTGAATTAATACTCCCATTTACAACTTTGGAGCAATTTTGGCACAATGCAGATAATTTATTTACTTCTAAGGAAATTATTTTAAAAAAATCCATCAAATAAATATTTCAGTTTAGAAGTATTTATTAGGTGGTTCAGTTGTTTGAGTACTTGAATCATCTTTTTTTTAGGATCTTGGACGGGCCACCATTTAAAACTTGGACAAACCGTTTCATGAATAAAATAATTAAATGAACAAAATAAAAAATAATAATCGTAACTGTATGCAGTTCTACAATAAATTTTATCGACGACGAAACACAGGTCACAACTCACACGATACACACTGAGAAGTGAGAAAAATAGTCAATAACAGTCACAAAATATATAATTGTCAATTTTTGTATACCGTTTATTTTATTGCGCCTACAGCAAAGGACAGAGTTCGTACAGATAGGTTAAGCGATAACTGAAATACCGGGAATTCTAATAGGGTTTTATAAATATTAAATTGTTATAAATTATAATGATATTATATTATTATGCTTGTGAGTCCAATATCCATGAATGTTGGTTTATTTTTGTTGGTTTGAAACAATAATTATTTTTCATACTTTATACACACTTCTATGAAACGGGTATCAGCTAATGAGACCATCATCATTCGGGAGTGGCAGGTGGGTAGCAGGGATAGATATTTTTGCTTTTGCAATTATTATAAAAAAAATAAAATAGTTGTTCTTACAATCTTACCTACTACATGCTCATTACATGTTTCTATTTTTGGGTTTTCTCATTGTTTACGATGTAAAACTCCAGACTAACAATAAATATTAATAAATATTAAAATCATGGTAATAATAATACGTATTACTAAACGTGTTTTCTATGTAGGTACTAGATGAAAAAAAAAAAATATTTTAATTTATTCAAATTCACTATTTGTGACTGATAAACAATAATATGATAACGCTATTGCATATTAATTATTTGGTAAAATATATTTTAATCACCTCATTAATAATTCTGATGGGAATGCAATATGCATAATAGGTTGTGTTTAAATCACAAATTGAGATTTATTTATGTATATCTTAAATCGTGGTTTAAATGTTTTGGTTATCCTTATCAATAAATAATAATAGTTATGTAATTTTGTCAAGGTGTGACTATTCAATAAGTGTTATTACTTATTATTACTATAGTGTTTAAAATCTGATGTTAACAAAATATGCGTCTATACCTTCATAGAACCACAGAACTAGACACAATATAATGCTTCATAATATTAGATTATATTAGTATTTACAAAGTATTTTGTATTGCATTCTTTAACACATTTTAACTTATATCATCATATTGGAGTCAATTAGTATTTAGCATTTAATATTATGTAAGTATTATAACATTATACATTTATACAACTTCGATCATGTTTAGACAAACTACAAATTGTTCAAATTAATCAAATTCAATTTATGGTTTTAATCTCGTTTCCCGTAAAGTAGGAAACATAAAATAATGAGTAGAAATATTTTATAAAAATATAATTTCCCTAGGATATTCGTATCCCTCAGTATAAAAAAAACTAGGGAGTGTAGTACCTATGAATATTGAATATTGTACCGAAGGTGTATTATAATATATAATATACTAGGAATATTGTACTAGGGATATAATTGTCTTAGGTATGGTCATTGTCCTAGTATGACATTTTAGGAGGTATAAATATTCTAGGATATTCGTACCCCCCGGTATGAGATTTTGGGAGGTATAGTACGCCTAGGATATTTGTACCCCCCGGTATAACATTTTCGGAGGTATAAAATTCCTAGGATATTCGTACCCCCCGGTAAGATATTTTAGGAGGTATATATTGACGCGGCCCGCGTTAGTAGCAAGTACAATGTACAAGCACTCCAACCACCACCACGGGATGCAAGCAGCGCGACCGGGTTGACTCTCCCACCGAGCCGGTAACGGCAAGGCGGGACGGGGGGGCTGTGTCGCGTAAGACGTACAACGGTCGGCGGAAAAGGCGATTCGAGATCCACCATCGGACCGTCGGACCGATAACATATCGTCCGACGTTAAACTCATCTGCCCGAGCGGCACGTCATGTATTATTATATTTTGGTCGCAATATTATAATACATAATTTGTGACATTCTTAAAGTGTTAGTGTTGTGTTTTTTTTCATCATCTCAATCCTAACCAAACACTTCGACCGGACCACGATCAACCTTGAAGCAATCATCGTGTCCGCGTCAATATATCCTAGGAATAGTATACCGGGGGTATATAATTCCTAGGATATTAATACCCCCCGGATTTTGGGAGGTATAGAACGCCTAAGATATTTGTACCCCCCGGTATGACATTTTGGGAGGTATAAAATTCCTAGGATATTCGTACCCCTCGGTAAGATATTTTAGGAGGTATATAATATATCCTAGGAATATTATATCGGGGGTATAAATATTCTAGGTATTTCATACCCCTATGGAGGTATTATTATCCTAGGATATTTGTACCCCCGGTATATATTTTTGGGGGGTATAAGTATCCTAGGATATTTGTACCGGGGGTACAATTAACCTAGGAAAATCATACCCCCGGGGGGTATAATAATTAGGAGGTATCATTTTCCTGTCACACCAGGTTTAATATAGTTATAATAATTATACTATAATAATTAGTAATAAGAAATAAGATTTTAAATTGTTTATCATTATTATTTGAAATTATATATTATCACTATTAAATCAGTAACCACACGTTCAAAAGTTGGATGAAATCAACTTCATGGTATATGTGGGAACATCATGGTATTCGTAGTAGAAACCGTAAAATTTGTGATAGAAACCAGATTTAATCACGTGGTTGGACCAATCTGAGCACGGCAACATATCACGACACAACACGACACGGTGTAGTGTGAACCCAGCTTAAAGCGTCTTTCACTGACGACTTACCACGGATCGTAACCGTGTTCATTGTATTAATAGAAAACTTTTCGAAATTACGACACTGTCAGACGACGTACGAGCCATGGTCGAATTCGGGGTACTGACAATATATATTTTATTATAATATTATTATATAATTCATTGATAACAGTATAAACGCAAAATGTATAACAGCAGCCTACAGCTGCAGCAGTACAATAATAAAATTATTATATTTAGATGTAAAATTTTATTATATTTCGAACGGTCTGTGGACGTCCAATGTAGTTCTAACTAAAAGTGATTAGGATTATTATATATATTTTCCAGACTGGAAAAATAAATAAAATCGTGTAATAATTGTAAATTTTGGGGGATATTGAATGGACGTACATAGGGAATCCACCTGGGCTGTTTCCAGTCAGGAAGCAAACGGGAAGTTCCCGTGGACGTCATGTGTTGTTAGGGTGAACTTTATGAAAAGTATATTCACTCATCAAATTATAATACAATGTATCAACTTACCCCACTACCAGAGCATATGGGTAAGATGACGAGTTTCAAATATTTTTTAAACATTTTTTCAACCTGTATGGTTTCTACTATTATTTTACAACTCTTGAAAAGCTCCTCTATCTAGGTAAGTGTGTAAGTATTGAGGTGTTATATTTAAAAAAAACATTGAACCTTAGATTCGTCAATTTACCCAGATCTCCCCTACTAACAGATAAAGTTATACTTCATTGGGCGTTGTGTATTGATGAATAATGCATGTGTTCCATAAAACATATAAATAATAAATATTATAAATAAATATATTGTATAATTAACAATCTAATCACATGCACTTCACGTTACCTGTTAAAATTGCCAACTCTATATGATTCAAACTTTGTTCAACTTGTTATTTAATATACGGTTAGGTACTCGGTGTTCAAAATTTTAAATTTTTTCATAGACGATCAGCCATTTTGAAACTCAAAATACTGGTACAAGCACCATTCTAAAATGAGTATTTTGGAAAATGATTTCTAGGTACCTACCAAGGTACCGTGACAATTGCAAGCATCAAAGTATCATTGT